TTGATGACATTTCGGTGGAACATGCTGCCCATCTCAGACACTGCAATGTCGGGCGCACAAATCTTGGTGTTGAGCATTATACTGTAGTTTCCGCTACATGTAGACATTATGCTGAACTACTGCTATGTTCCTTTTCGCGTGTGCATATGGCAGTGAACTCTCTCTCCGCAGCACATGACACCAAGTATTTTCGTGTATTCCGTTATTCCTCCAGTCACGAGTGGGGCAGTAACAATGAAGGAATCTTTGCGAGGAATATATTTTAACCAACCACCGGAAATTTCCGCTCCCTGTCGGGTAATGTTTTCGCCAGTTGCATCCACCGTCAGGGGAGCATATACCTCACGGCGACTGCGCGAAACGACAGACACAGGATGAAAAAGAGTTGGCTTGCTTCTTGGGCCCGGAGAAAATTGGTCACGATGATCCCGGCATCGTCTAACTCTTCGTTGACCGCGCGTCTTCCTTTGCGCTGACGGCAGCGCGTGGGTCGGCAAGGGTCAGGCTGTGGGCGGTGCCGCAAGAAGAGCATGGCCGTACAACAAAGACGTGAAGGGGGGTGGGCAGGGTTGTGTTCACGTGTAAGTACTTGATTACGGACCCCTCGCCAGACGCCGCTGTTTGGTAAACAAATGGTGATTCTTGTGTAAGTGGACCGATTGGGATTCGAACCCGTGCGTGGAACCTTGTGTAAGTAAGTGGTCTAATGGTCAAAGCGTTCTTACACAAGGATTCCCGCACGAAGTTCGAATACCGGCCGGATCACTATTCTTTGCGTAGAATTACCATTGACAGAACAGCAGCGTTTGGCGAGGGGTTCTTCCCCGGAGATCTCTACGCTCAATCCCGGTGATTAAGCTTCTAACAGCCTCAAGCCCATGTGATCCGGCCGGGTGCTAACGAGCTCAGCGCATATCTTTTAATCGCGGAACTAGACCATCCGGCTAGTCAGCGCTGACTAGCCGGATGGTCTAGTTCCGCGATTAAGTACGACAAGTGGGCGGGATTGCTCATGCACGCGCCGGCCTTCCACGAGACGGTCCGAGGAACCGCCCTTTGAAGTGAGTGGATGGTGCATGCAGGTGTGTTGCAATATCCAGGACATTCCCGTTGCTCGAGTATTAGAACTTACTGCTTGCGTTGCCGATTGGATGCTCCGGTTGTCCTCCCCCATTTGTACTTCACACTTGTTGCTGCGCCGCACTTCCATGTGCTGGGGATCGTTTTTGTTTGCACCCCTGGTATTGACGTACTGCTGCGGCTACGATCCTCCTTCGTCCAGTTCGTTTGATATTATCATGTCTTGTATTGGGTTGTAATGCTGTTGTTGTTGTTGGCCGCTACAGGCTCGTAAGCTAGGTACTCCTTTCCTTGTAAATGAGCCGGAAACTTGACCTAATGGCTATTATTTATCTTACCGTTCCGCTTCGATCCGATTGTTTTGCCGTTCTCTCGTTCACTCCAGGATACAGGCGCAGACTGTGACAAACGAAGATTGGACAACTTCACCATATCGACGATGACAGGCGATTTGTGTCGCGTCTAGAGAGGGGATGGTCCTTCCGTATTGACTGCACTTACTCGTGGAATGTTCTGATGTTGGCAGGATGGGTCAATGCGGTGCCGTAGACTAGAACAATTAGGTGCCTGTTTCTCGCAGGGTATGTTGACGCGAATCGATGGATTTTTCTATTGTGGCCATTTCGGTGTGCGCGTTGCCGGGTTATCAGGGAGTAGCTGTCGCCATTAGACTGTGAAATTTGTCCACGATCTGCGCGGGGAGGGCGCGTGTAACTCTTACTTGCCTGTGCTCGAGGCCCTAGGATGCCCAAAATTTTCTGTCATCGCGGAATAGTTTCGAACGAATGTTGGAGAGGCGTCTGTGGCGCCGTTGCCGCCGCCAGCTAGCATCCACCGACGATGGCTATTTGTTGCACAATTAAAAGTAGACCCCACGTGCGATCACTTTACAACCGCTAGGCCACCTCACAAGTAGCCTACTTGGGCATGAAGAACGATCGATGATGAGTGAGCAGGTTACCGTAGGGAAATCTTTACTTCTGGTGCTTACTGTTTTCTAACGACCAAGACCGTATTTTGATTATCTTCTTTCTTTTTTTTTGCGTTTTTCGCAATGCTTCAAGTGGCGGCGCACCTGTCGTGTATCCACGTTTTGCATACACGAGTCTCTCCCCATTCCGCCATGAAGCCTGAAACGTAGAACACAAGCAATATCCAGTCTGGGAATATCAACTCCGACGATACATTCGTCGGCTTACTTTCTACGATGACGTTACCTATGGCATTGCTATTGTTTAATGATGTGCCCGCGCGCGTTCGTTCCGCGGAGCGACCTAGTCGTTCTGACGAAGTTGAACATGAGACATTATCCTGCCGCAGCGGTACGCATCGCCACACGGGTCTATGAGCTAAGCATACAATGCATCACAACCAAAAGTGATGCGTACACCCCGAACGGAGTGGGGTTACTCTTCTATTGCCGTCTGCAACACAATAAATTACGCCCCGAGGATAGCGTTTTCGCGTTTCCGCTAAAAAAATCACCGGGTGTTGTATTATGTGGAGTGTGTGAACCTCAGGTTGCCCGTGAGATAAAGTGCGGCGGTTGGACTCGTGAACGGGGGGGGGGGTAAATAGGGGGCGTGGTGCTCCTGCCACCTACTTCGAGGGACCGAAAAGGGGGGTGGTAACAAAGGGGTGTAAAACCTAGAGGGCGTGATACACAGAGGGTGTAATAACCAGGGGTGGGTGTGATTTGCACGGCGGGTTATACCACTGCTGCACACTTGGCGGGTCTGTAGGGATGCAATAACGAACGGGCGTGTTAGCGCCTGTAATTAGCCTACTACCGTGCCTGCTGCCACGCGTGTAGGGAGTGGGTGTGATAACACTGCCCGCAACTACCTCCCGCATTTGCAGGGCATCTTTTACGTGTGCTCCTGAGCGGGGGGTGGGTGGGGGGTGGGGGGTGATGGCAGGGGACCTGCTTACACCGTCTTATCACGCCATTCCGGCGATAAATGCAAATACGAACTCGATAACTTAAGCGATCCTGTTGCAATGCAACCACTAATAACTGCAGGGAATATGCCAACAAGGCGGGAAAGAATGAAAGATGAGTTGTATGCGCATGGGAAAACTATGGACCACGCCCTGCGAGGCAGAACCTTCCATGACCCTCCCCCCCCCCCCCCCCTCCCAGTGGCTCCC